AATTATGACCTTATTATTGTCTTCATTAGAAGATTATGTATGATCTAAGGAGATGTGTATTGACAAAGGGTGAACTTGTAATGGCTAATACTGAGTGTCAATTTGATTAGATTGAAGGATGCAAAGTAATGATCCTGGTGTCTGTGAGTGTGCTGCCAAAGAAAATTAACATTTGAGTCAGTGGGCTGGGAAAGGCAGACTCATCTTTAATCTGGCTGGATATCATCTAATCAGCTGCCAACGTGGCCAGAATATATAAAGCAGGCAGAAAAATGTGAAAAGGTGAGACTAGCTTAGCTCCCAGCCTACATCTTTCTCTCATGCTAGACGTTTGTTGCCCTTGAACATAGGACTCCAAGCTCTTTAGTTTTGGGACTCAGACTGGCTTCCTTGCTCCTCAGCCTGCAGAAGGACTATTGTGGGGCCTTGTGATCGTGTGAGTTAATACTACATATTAAACTCCCTTCTATATATATTTATCCTACTAGTTCAGTCACTCTAGAGAACCCTAATACATTCTTAAAACAAATGAAAAGGGAAATACAACATACCAAAATCTATGGATACTGCAAAATCAGCACTAAATAAGAAGCTTATAGCAATAAACACATACATGAAAAAAGTAGCAAGACTTCAAATAACCCAATGATGCATCTTGAGAAACTAGAAAAGAACAAATCAAATCCAAAATTAGTAGAAGGAAAGAAATAAAGACCATAACAAAACTTAATGAAATTGAGACCAAAAATACATAAAAGATCAAAGAATCAAAATGTCATTTTTTTGAAAATATAAAAAAAATTAAGACAATATTAGCTAAACTAGGGAAAAAAATGAAAGAAGATCCAAATAAATGAAATTAGAACTTAAGAACAAGATATAACAACTGATACCACAGAAATACAAGGGATTATTAGAGATTATTATGAACAACTACGTGCCAACAAATTGGAAAACTTAGAAGTGGATAAATTCCTGGACACATTTAACCTACTGAGATTGAATCACGGAAAAGTAAAATACCTGAGCAGACCAATAATGAATAAGGAGATCAAAACATTAATAAAAAGTCTCCCATTAAAGAAAATATCAGGACCTGATGGAATTATGGAATTCTACCAAACATGTAAAACACAAATACTAATTCAACTCAAACTATCCCAAAAGTTAAAGAGAAAAAAACACTTCCAAAGTCATCTTACAAAGCTGGCATTAATCCGACACTGAAACCAGTCAGGAACCCAATTAAAAAGAAAACTACAGGCCAATATCCCTGAAGAACACAGATGCAAAAATCTTCTACAAAATGCTAGCAAACTGAATCCAACAACCTATTAAAAAGTTCATTCACCATGATTAAGTAGGATTTATTCCAGGGATGCAAGGATGGTTCAACATACACAAATCAATATATGTGCCCATAACATTAACAATATCAAGGACAAAACTTGAAAAAATTCATCATTTCTTTATGACAAAAATCCTCAACAAATTGGATTAGAAGACATATACCTCAAAACAATAAAGGCCACATAAATGACAAAGCCATAGCTAATATACTGGTAGAGCTAATATACTGAAAGGAGAAAAACTGAAAGCCTTTCTTCTAAACCTGGAACAAGACAAGGATGCTCATTTTCACCACTTTTACTCAAAAACAATACTAGAAGTTCTAGCCAGAGCTATTAGGCAAAAGAAATGAAGGTCATCAGCATAGGAAAGAAAAAGGTCAAATTATCCTTGTTTGCAGATTCTATGAACTTATATTTGGAAAAACCTAACGACTTTACCAAAAATACTGTTAGAACTGATAAACAGATTCAGTTAAGTTTCAGGATATGAAAGTCTACATGTAAAAATCAGTAGCATTTATATACACCAAGAGTAAACAATCTGAAAATGAAATCAAGAAAGTAATCCCATATATGATAGCTATAAAATATAAAATACTTAAGAATAATCCAAACAAAGAAGCCAAAGATCTCTATAATTAAAACTATAACATACTGATAAAAGAAATTGAAGAGGACACAAAAACATGATAAGCTATTCTGTCTATGTTCATGGACTGAAAGAATTATCACTGTTAAAATATCTATACTACCTGAAGAGATTAACAGAGTCGATGCAATCCCTATCAAAATATCAATAACATTCACAGAAATAGAAAAAGAATCCTAAAATTTATATGAAAACATATAAGACCCCAAATAGCCAAAATAATCCTGAGCAAAAAGAACAAATGGAGGTACCACACTATCTGACTTCAAACTACACTACAAACCCATGATAACCAAAACAGCATAGTTCTGGCATAAACACACACACACAGATAGATCAACAGAACAGAACAGAGAAGCCAGAAATAAATCCATGTATTTACAGCCAACTCATTTTCCAAAAAGACATCCAAGAACCTACATTGGGAAGAGGATAGTATTATGATGCTGGAATACTGGATAACCACATGCAGAAGACTGAAACTAGGCCCCTATCTCCCACCACATAGAAAAGTCAAATCAAAATGCATTAAAGACCCAATATTATAAAAGTACTAGAAGAAAACATGGAAAAAATGCTTCAGGACAAGCAACAGAAGCAAAAATAGATAAATGGGACTATATCAAGCTACAGAGCTTCTACACAGCAAAGCAAACAGTCAACAAAGTGAGGAGACAACCTATAGAATTACAGAAAATATTTACATAATATCATAATATCGACTCAACAAAGAATTAATAACCAGAATATAGAAGGAACTAAATTTAGTAGCAAGAAAAAAAAAACAACACAAAAGATCTGATTTAAAAAAATGCATAAAAGATCTGAATAGACATTTCCCAAAAGAATACAGACAAAATGGCCAACAGGCATATGAAAAAATGCTCACCATCATTAATCATCAGGAAAATATACCTCAAAACTGCAATGAGATATTATTTCACCCCAGTTAAAATGGTCTTTATCAAGAAAGACAAGAAAACAATGAATGCTGGAAGAGAAGTGTGGAAAAGGGGAAACTCTCGTGGATTGTTGGTGGGAATGCAAATTAGTACAGCCACTATAGAAAACAGTAAGGCATTTCCTCATGAAACGAAAAACAGAACTACCATATGATCCAGCAAACCCACTGTTGGGTATATATCCAAAAAAAAGAAATCGATGTATCAAAGAGATACCTGAACTCCCAAGTTTATAGCACCCCATTCACAATAGCCAAGATGTGGAATTAATTTTTGCCTATCAATGGATGTATGGGTAATAAAAATTTGGTACATATACACAATGGAATATTCTTCAGCTATCAAAAAAAGACTGAAATCCTGTCATTTGCAGCAATATGGATGGAACTGAAGGTCATTATGTTAAGTGAAATAAGCCAGGTCTGGAAAGATAAATATCATATGTTCTCAGTCATTTGTGGGATCTAAAAAAGTAGATCTCACAGAGATACAGAGTAGGTGGTTACCAGAGGCTGGGTGGGAAAGGTAGCAGGGAGAGAGGGATGAAGAGAGGTTCATCAATGGGTATAAAAAAACAGTCAGATAAAGGAATAAGATTTAGTGTTTGATAATTCAATAGGGTGACTATAGTTAGCAACAATTTACTGTATATTTCAAAACAGGTAGAAAAGAAGAATTAGAATATTCTGAACATATAAAAAAGATAAATGTTTAAGGTGATAGATACCCCAATGACTCTGATTTGATTATTATGCATTGCGTGCATGTATCAAGCTATCACATGTAACCCCTAAATCTGTACAACTATTATATATCAATAAAAAATGATATGGAAACTGGATGATGTGACAATGAGAGTATGCATGCTGGGGAGTGGAATAAAGATTGAAAAAATTTAAAAAATGTATATAGACTTTATCTCTAAAAAAAAAATTACAGCTAAGATTAGATTCTTGAAAAAGATGAGTTAAAATGTCTTCACTCTCTCCCTATTAAGTTTAGAAATGCCAGCAACCTCAGTACATTAACAATAAATAAACACGAAGACAACTTAATATGAAAAACTTGTTTGTGTCCAGGAAAGAACTACTTATCTAGAAACTGATTTTATTCACAAAAAAGGAGACAATTTTACTATAAAATGAGATGTGCACTATTTTTTTGCAAGGTCAGAGCATTGTGGATTTCTATAATTATTTTATTTAATTCCTTAAAAATAATGTTCTAGTAGTGGATATAAGGTTACAAGAAACTCTTCTCGAGCTTGGTACAGGAAGGAAGCAAGTGTTATATATCTATACCTATACCTGAAAGACAAAGGTTTGGAATCCTTTAGGAAATCCTATTTCAAGTGGCTCCTTGGCTGTTACTATTACCATTAAAAAAGAAAAAGAAAAAAAAAAAAAAAAAAGCAAAGTAAATCACTTCTCTCTCAGGACCTGGAGGTTAATTCTTCTGATAAGACAGGATAGTTGCCTAAACATGAAGGCTTAGGAACTGGTGCCAGAAATTAGGAAACCACTATTAGATAGGCTTTCTTTATAGGCAGCAGACCTTAATTTTAACTCACACATTACATGTTAAATGTGGTAGCTTTGACTATTTTTCAGTTATTACAGTATGGCCTTACACTTGCTGCTTAAAATCATCTTGCTTACTATTGCTATATGCACACCACACATTTAAGAACTGTCTAATTATACACAGAACCTATAAAAATGCTTCACCTTCCTCTTTGTTTTGCTCCTCCTGAAAGGAGGAAACTAAAAAGAAGGCAATGAAATCTAAAAGCAAAATCAGTCAATTTGTGAAGATCTTTGGAAAAGAAAGACATTTAAAAATAATATTCCAGTTTAATAATCGAGATTTACCATATAAATACACTACAAATTATGGCCGAGGACACTAGAAGGTACTGAAAGGTTAACAGACTGTCGTAACATGATTATATGCGGTTATAACGTCATACAACGTAATTCTGCACATTACCTTTCTTTAGGGCAGAAAAGACATAAAACATCTAACAAAGATACTTACATTTGAAGGTTTAAGTTTGTTAATGATCGTTGTTTTGCCACTATTATCTAGCCCAAGGCACAAAACGTGAACCTCCTTCTTCTTCAGGCCGAGCAAGACTGAAAGTCTGTCTAGCAATCCCATAATGCGATTCAATATTTAGAAACCAGCTGCAAGTAAGAAAAAATAGTATATTACCCAAAGGCACCTTAAGTTATAGAAAATATTTGTATGTGTATTTTTAAAAAGTAATAATTTAAATACACATAATAGTAGTGTGAAAACTACGTCAATGTAGCTTTGCACTTAGTAAACAGAGTATAAGCTGATTACCAGAAAGGAGCCTTAACTGATACGCAGACTTGCAGCTTATAACAGGTGGCAACACAGGCAATGGCTTTGAAATAACAGCATTTCTCTCTGTGATTTATAATATTTAAGAAGAAAACATGGTTAGCCTCAGTATCATTTGGAGTCTGCCAATTGTGACACTTGAAAGTATGGAAGAATTAGGCTGTAGCCTTTCCAGACAATCTGAAACAATGAATGGGCAATGAGGTTCATATAGTCTGATGCTGAAACTTAGAAGGCAGAAGGCAGATCAGAAAAGCAGAGAAAAACTGAGATTTTGGTTACATCATTTGAGCCACTGGTTAAATCTTTGTCAGAAGCCACCGCCATTGTTTATTTTGCAATAACGTGAAGTTACAACAAATTCACTGTTTTTGTCTGCTTGCTTGGTTATTTCCAGTTTAAGTAGGGTTTTCTGTTAGCAGAAGCAAAGAATCCTGATATTATACTTATCCTTATTTCCTCTTATTCTTTACATATATCTTTGTAAGTCACCACAAATCCCTCTGTGAAGAAAGTTATGCATAAATACACACATTCAGTTTATTGAACCTTACTAAATATCTGTTTTTTTTAACTGTTACTTATCTGAAACATCTTACTAAGTGCTATTTTAAAAGAACTTTATCATATTCACAGAAGAAAGTAAATACTGATTGTAGATTTTAATTTTTAAAAATATCTTAAAAATTTATTTGTTAACTTGTCCCTAAAGTGTTCATTTAGCTTGTTCTATTGATTCTTTGAAAAAAAAATCTTTCTAATGCAAACTTACAAAAAAAAACCTCTATCAGCAGTCTAAAAATAGAAGTATTTGGAAGTCAAATAAAACTGCTGTGTACCTACGACTTGCTATGTGGTAACTTTACGGCTGTTTATATTCATCTAAGGTACTGTTAAATTTACACTTCAGGTCTCTAAACTAAACTTTTCGAAGGAGTTCACTTTGGGTCCACTGCTCCCCAAATCTTTACTTTGTGGTAGGAGGACAGGGAGATCCCTTTTTCCAACCCCCAACTGCTGCAGGAACTGCTAGAATACATCTGTGTACTGTTGTACTACTTACCAACGGTCACTTTCACAGTTCTCTAAATATTTTTATTGTCATTAAATTCACTTATTCTCATCTCCATCTAAGGTTGCATAAGCAACCTGTCATATAACAGTTTCTTCAATACTTTTTATTTCATACAATTTCAGGCAAGGTCACATCTTGAAGGATGTGAGGCGGTAGCAACTTTATCAATAAGAGGCTTCCAAGACAACAATATCTAAAAGGAGGTTGCATAGTCAACATTTTGCTCAGACCTTTTGGGAGATGACTATGGTTAGAAATTTCAAAACTGAATTTCAGTGATGTGCAGAGAAGAGATGGTACAGTACCATACCAAATGGTGAGGCCTGTAACAGAACCACGTTTGTCTTTCCCCAGCGATGAGTTTGACCTTAGGTACTTCCATTTGTGCCACTTCAATCTACTTTTCTCCTTGTATTAGAGATTCAAATCTTATTCATCCATTTCTTTAAATCTCGGCTTAAGGATCAGCATTTGTAGAATCTATTTTAAATTAACCTTCTGATGTCATGAAGCAATTCACACAGACCATCTGAATTCAAAGTAAATTTGCTATTACTCACTTTATTTACTGAGTAAACGTATTGATATAAATGCTTATATCTTGTTTTTCATTTCATACAATTTGGAACATATTTTAAGAAAATATGATCACTTCTCACATTTTTCCCGTCTAAGCATCTATTATAAAGTACTGAGTGTTTAAAGACTGATGCTTGAATATTCGTTTTTCACAGTACCTTGTATTGAGACTTTCCATCACTTTTCCATGAATTACCAAACACTTGATACTTGTTACTGAAGTATTTTGGGACACACAATTTAGGAGAGAAGGCAGTTTTTCTAAAAGAGGTAATCACATTTATTGAAGTTGCTTTATAAACAACTATCATGGAGCCTTTAAACTTCTACGTTTCTAATAGTTATAACTTTCCTTCCATAAGTTGACTTTCTGCATACATAAATTAATAAAAGATAATTCAAGCCACTCAACATTTATTTATCATGTCTTAAGTGTACAGTGAGAGATACAATTGTTTTCTGCAGCTTTCTACTCCAATAGCCATGATTCTCAACCCTGGCTTTCAGAATAAAGTTCAAACTTCCAAGCATAGCTTTTAAGGTTGTTCACAATCTGGCTGCAATCTTCTTTTCTTGTTTTTTATCTTACTGAACCTTCTCTTTGCACACCAGCCAAACTCTCTTGGCTATTGTCTGACAGACTGTTGCCTAAAGGATTACATGTTGTCAAAGAAGTCCAGAAGAATTAGGATGTTATCCACAGTTAACAGCTTAGAGGGTAAGCTGCAGAGACAGAGTGGTAGCCCAGAGAAAACACCACGAATGATACTTAGCAAGCTCTACAAAGTGTTTGTTGATTGAAATGCTACCTACTCTTATTACCCAAAATAAATGTTCTTATTCGGCTTTCAGTTTTTGAGGATGGAATTTAAATTACACTTACACAAACACACACCCGAAATACAGGTGTCTAAGTTGGGCATTGTTAAAACCCACCAACCAAACAAACATTAGTCCAAACCAGTTTAGTACGTTTTCTAGGGCCTCTATTACTCACCTTCTTTTCTACTTCTTATAGATTATCAACAACTACGCGCGTGAAGTCAGAAACATGGGAAAGGCGAAAGAGGAATTCTAAAACTGACGGGGCAGAGGGTGGCTCTGCTTTAAAAACCGGGGTTGGGGAGATACCTGGTTTTTGAGGTGAGACCGGCGGGCGCAGGAGCTGGTAACAGGAACGGAAGCACTCGTAACGGTCTCTGGGATGGAAATTTGGTGAGAGGGTCCCTCAGCCTTCTTCTCTATGCCTACATAGGAAGGACGTCTGGTAATGAGCAAAGCCTCCTCCACAAGTTGGGAAAACCCGCAGCCGCTGCAGCAGCCTGTGCATCAGTGGCTGAGCAGGCGCCTTGGCATGCACCGTTCCCTTGGCAACAGGAGCTTCTTCCGGTACTGAAGCCACGCCTCTCCGGGGTCTTGGCGAGTCAGCCGTAGTGCTGTCGCTTCTGGGAATGAAGAGCTCCGGGAAAAGGCCAGAGGCCCGCGGAGGAACTATACTTTAAAGAAACGTGTGCGCAGAGGTGGCAGGGTGAGCCGCCGATTTCCTGCGAGGAGCCTTGCGGTTCCCGGAGAAGCATGCTGGGAGTTGTAGGCGCACGCACAGCTTTCTGGGAAGCGTGGGACGTTCGCGTGCGCTGCGTGTGCGTCGCGCGGCGCCGGTCTCACTGGGGATGCCGGAGGCTGGCGGCCTGTGTGGCGCGGAGAGCATCGTGACCGGGCACCGGCGCAGCGTAGCGGCAACGACTGCAAGACGCGACTTCCCCTCCTGCGGCAAGATGTGCGCCGGAGTTGCCCGGCTGCCCGTCGTACCGACTCTCCTCTGGGCTCTGCTAGGCCTCCCCGTGAGTCCCGGAGAAGTGAAACTGCGAACATGGCAAGATGGAGGGGAGAGCTGGCGTCAGAAGTGAAGGCGTTGCTCGGCTGAGAAAGCGTAGCCTGCCCCAGGCCGCTGAGCTGGCTGGTGTGCGCAAGAGGTTGCCGCCAGGCGTAATCTCCTGTGAGTGGATTACAGTCTCCAGAATCACATCGGCAGGTGGTCCGGAAAGGCGTCAATAGTCAATAAAGTTGGCCGCCTTCTTAAACGGCACCTGGATTTTCTAGTCATAGTCACAAATTATCTTCAAGTAGAAAATATTTAGCCATACTTTCCCCCACATCTTTTATTACTCCGTTTTCCAAAGGACACATTACAGATGCAGTCATTTTAATAAGGGTCTAGCCTTTCAATCTGCCCAACCCCACTAGCCTCACCCCCAGTGAATCATCCTCGTGATGTTCTTCAAATAGGGGTTTTATCTCTTCTTTTTGTTTTTTGGTTTGCTTTGGGTGTAGGATTTCCTCCCTTCTCCCTCCGCCCCTCTCCCAGACCCTTTTCAACTAGCATTATGTTTACTACAGTACCCGTTCTTTGGCCTGTTGATTTATTTGACCTATTAAATAGACAAGGAGCGTGCAAAAGGAGACTAGAAGGAATTCTGTCAAAGGAAGATGGTAGAGGCGAGGGTTGTAAGCACGTGATTATGGGGCGATTTATCTTTTGTCACTTGCCCAAATTTCCAGATGTGATTGTCATTTTTACAGTGAAAAAACAAAAGCGGTTCTGGGTTAGTGATTGTTGTTGAAAGACAAAAACAAAACTAAAAAAGACCGTATAGATGTATATCAACATATAAATGCCCTTGTAAAAATGGTGTATGAAAATACATTATTTCCTACTCTGTGGTCTTAAGCCAATTTACCCTTCTCTGTGCTTCTATCCTCACCTTCAAAAATTTAGTATTCATCTTATCTGGTAGTTCTGAGTATTAAAGAGTAACAAATACAAATGTTTGGCACATATTTATTGTTCAATAAATAATGTCCTGTCTTCTTCTGTCATGAATTTTTATTATATAAACAAAATTGACCCAAAACCTAGCTGTCGTGGTTCTTTAACTTCTGAACTTCTGATCCTGAATGCATTGACAGGGAGGTTTTGATCACTTTTCTGTGTGCCTGGGTGTTGTGACTCATTTTTAAGAGATGGAAGCTAATGTGCTTATAGCCAGAATATAACATTTTTTTTCTTAGAGATAGGCAGATATATTATATTTCAGAAAACTTTCATGGGCAAACTCAAATTTTGCTGCCTGGAGCTGATATTTTCTTCCTGTAGGTTAAGTTCGTCTCTTTTGGCTTAGTACAAAACATTTGGTGAAGAGCATCCAACTTTTCAGGAAACCAAGGCAGATAGATAATTCTTTTACAAAATTGTAGCTAGTCAAATAGTTATCTTAGATAAGGATAGTTGATAGATGGCTTATTATTAGAGGTAAGTGTTATGAAATATAACCGTTTATTCAAATAATCTGGAAAAATGTCAGCCTTGAAAATGTTAACCTTAAAAAAACATAAAGGCCACTGGGTGCGGTGGCTCACACCTGTAATCCCAACACTTTGGTAGGCTGAGACGGGAGTATCTCTGGAGGCCAGAGGTTGGAAACACCATCTCTATTAAAAATAATCATGTGATAGACAGTTCCAAATTGATCTGAGAAGAGTTTATGCTAATTTGTACTCCATCAACAGTGAATTAGTGAGCCTATTTTCCCACACTTTCCAAAAAATGTGGAATTTTACAACAAAATACATATGACTAAAGAGAGGATTATTTTAAAACTTGATTTATTACATCTCTGTAATTGTGAGGAGATGAGAAATGTTATCTTTGTTGGGGGGGGAAGTTGGGAGAGAGAAAATAGAGTCCCCTTTAAATGAGAGATTTAGGTCTGTTGGGTTTGACTTGGCAAAATTTTCAAAAATCATTTGACTTTGGATGTAGCTCAAATATGGACTGTCGTATGTAGATGGTATACTGTTGCAATTGCTCAATTTTGTCCTCAGAAAACTAAGATTGCATATGAAATGTTTAAAACTCTTTGTGGAAATAAAATAAAAAAAATCGTGGTTGAATCTGCTGTTTGAATCTGCTGTTCTGGTGCTTTGTCAGCTGAAACTCAGGAGTACATTCAGAGGCTCATATACACTTGTTCCACTTGATTTAAGAAGTTTGACTATTCATTTTATTATGACAATGACAAGCTCTAAAAATGCTACGTGATTTTCTTAAAGCTACTTAACTGTAACAGAAGAGAATTTTAGGCACTTTCTTACCACTTTTAATTTCATACTGGCTTTTAGAACTGTAGTAAGAAAATTATAAAAAAGAAAAAAGATACAATGAATACAGCACTGTTCTGATTAATTCAGGATACTTATAGTGTTATTTTCTCACCAGCAACTTTTAAAAGAATATATCCATCTCAAAAAAAAAAGAATATAAATAATCCCTGATTTATAACTTAGTGCAAGTTTTTGGTATAAACCTTGGTCTAAAGCCATGTTTCAATAGTTGATGTTATGTGTACCTTTTTTTCATCTGCAATTTTTGTGCAGTACTGCCTCTGCAAGGAACACTTTACTTGAATCTCACAAAATATTTTCCAATATAAAAATCACTACAAAAATATGTACCAGTTTTTTAATAGTGATTTCTGTGAACTTATGTCTAAACCTAATGACATTATTTCAAAAAATTACAACTATGATATTGCATCCATAATTACTAAATTATCTAAAGAACATCCAGGTTTATTAGATCAAAAAATAAATTGCTTTAAGTCTGCATAAATACACAATACAAAAAAGTCACAAATTCAACCACCAAAACTGTAACTTTTATTTGCCAATAGATATTTTAATAAACGGCTTACTCCATCTGTAAGACCCTGATAATGCCTCTTAGGAAATCATAGAAAAATAAAATACAATAATTAGTAATTTGTACGTTGTACAAAAATCTTACTATGTTGCTCAGCAGGTAGTTTGCTAAACACCATATTCTTTCAGCAAATAGATGATATATGTTATGCAAGTCACCACAAACAACCCCTCATATTGAGAGCTGAGCATTCTATAACACTATTAACTTGTAAGCATGCCAGCACATGAAAATTTACATGGAACATCATAATATTATAGTAGATTTTGTAAGGTAAAAATAGTACCACCTTCAAATAAGTCTGACTACTTCACTGCTATAGTAAAGTAGATAATAGGTAGGATTGCAGTTCAATTGTTAACACCTTTTTACTTTGTTTATCGCTCTACCGTATTGTGATTACAACCAGAAATGAGAACATAGGCTGTGTCAGGAACCTGAGTGGAAGGCATATGTTGAAGCTATAAACGGTGATAGAATACCAGAGAGAAAAACATAAAAACAGTGCTATACTTCCTTATTCTCATAGATAAATCTTTTCCCCCTTTTGTAAGAGCAGATGGGTACAGTGCTAAATCCTTCATTAATAATAAATAGCTTCATGACAAGTTACAAAGATGCTTTAAAAATCATATTTGTACTTACAGGAAGGAAAAATATTTTTAGCTGTCCTTTTTTATTAGTCAAATATAGCTCTATGAGGGATTAAATATCTCAATCTAAACAAATGTTCTTGAGGCATTTTATATAAATACACTATTTAGTTTTCATACACTTTAGGATTTGTGCTACGAAGATTTTATAACATTTTGAGTGCACTGCAATTGTTGATACCATCTACCATTTAAAATTTGATGTGGTCATTTAAATATTTAAAGTGTTTAATCAAATACATTTTATATGTACATGTATATCTTTATATTTTTGGCGATGCTAGACCAGCAAAAAATGGAGAGCAATCTCATTCCATTATTCACAATCTAATTTCACATCAAATCCAAATAATAACGAATCTTTAAATTTCGACATATCGAATTACATACAACCTGGAGATATATATACACACACATACATGTATGTATATGTATATAGTATACATACATATATACAGATATATCTTTCTTTCCAGAAATAAAGCAGCAAACACAATTAAAAGATCACGTCTTTCCTGTAGGCTAGAGAGGGGCACAACAAAAACCCAACTATATTGCCCGTGTGTTTTCCCTAAATGACAGAAGGTATTGATGTTTTCCATATGAAAACAAAATAATTTTTACTAAAAGGTTAGTTCCTGTTTGTCTTTTATTTTAAAATTTATATGGGACCTCAATCCCCTCCCAAATAGTGTTGAAAAAAGTGACAGGTTGATTAAACAATATACATCTTTCATTTTAATTTTAATTAAAATTAAACTAATTTTAATTTTGATAGGCTTTGAATTATAACAATAGCTACAAAATGTTTCTGCCTTTTAATCTGTAATAGATGAAAGTAAAGAAAATAAGTTTTTATGGTATTGAGAAGTTCTCAATCTCTCCATTACGGAAAGAAGGACTCTTCTCAGAGTCCTTGGAAACCACGGAATTCAAAGTTTCGGGTCTCCCAATAAGATGTCTCAAAAATATTTAATAAAGATGCCTTTAAAATATTTCATTAAATATATATTCACTTTCCTATTATCCAGGTACTTACATATGTCTCCTCCAACCTGCACACCCTTCCCATCCTCCATATGACTTTTATCTCATTCTTGATTAAAAAAAAAAAAAAAAGAAAAGAAAAAACCTTACGTAGTGACATCCTTGCCTTTCTACCACAAA